CCGCTGTCACTAGCGTCGCGGCGCCTTTGCTGTGGCTTTATGAAGCTCTCAGGGCCTCCCACCCCCACCCCCACCCCCACCCCCCACCTCGGCCCCGCCCCGCCTCACCCCGCCCCTCGTGGCTAATACTCGGCAAATTCTACGCGGTTGGTGAGGACTGCAGGGCCCCCAACCGTGTAGACCAGCGAGTCCCCGCGCGCTTTGTAGTTCGCATACTTTGCCTTCTGGGAGAGTCAACCCCTCCACCTGAAATGCAGACTGTTTCTCTTCTCTGGACCCTCTGGAAATTCCACCCATTCTTGAAGGCTCAGCTCAAAGGCCCCCTCCTACGGGAAGCCTTCGGTGGTGGCCCAGATGGGTTTACTCGCAGGCTCCGAGCCGCTTCGCCCGTGGGCATGTGACAGATGTTCATTGATGCTCACTGTGTGCCCAGGATCCGTGCTGAGTGGCCTTGTGTGAAGTGTTTGCATTCTTTCTCTTTGCCAGAGACCCAAGTGGACTGTGTCTGATGCATCTTGTTCCTTCAGCCCCAGGGCAGACGGTGGGCAGCAAGAAGAGTTCCTTCAAACGAACTGCATCGCAACAGCTGAGGGTTTGCAGGGTCCTGGGCTGGTCCAGGCCCACAAAAGCTCCACCACCGGGGCCTGGCAGCCATGCGTACTGGAAGTAGCATTGGGCTGCCAGTGCTCAGAGTCCCAGGACTGGCTCTGCCCCTCACTCAGGTATATGTGACCTGGGCAAGTCACTTCCCTTGCCTGAAAGTCAGCCTCAAGTGCCTCATGTCCCCTAGGCTAGAGAAAACAAAGTGATGTACTTTTCAGAGGGGCTATGAGCCTTACATGAGAGGGCACACCTGGGCAGCACTTTCCAGTCTATTGTTATACCTGGATGGAAAAGCCAGATTGAACAGATTCAGATTTGAACAGATTCAGAGCCGGCTGACAGGAAGGAAAACCACCACATGTTCTGAAGGGCCGCCTTGGTGATAGGACTACAGGAGCTTTTCTTTCTCTATTTTCCTTTTCTGCTGACTAATGTAGTTATATTCCTTTTATCATGAAAACAATCCTTTTTCCCCCAGGTTGAAAATATCATCATTGGGAGTTTTCCTGTGTATAAAGATAAAACATACTCATGTAGAAAATTTCAGCAGTAGAAAAAAGTAAAAACAGGACTGTATAAATCATGCCAAATTCTAGCCCCCAGAGGCAAACAGGATTAAGATTTCGGTGAACAGCCTTCCAGACATCACTCCTTGCACACCCTCCTCTGTCTTTTGCACATGCGCACACACACACACCATATATATATGTGTACATATATATATACATACATATATATATATATATATATAAAATTTTGTATAAACACCACATGTGCTGCTTTGTAATATATTTTTTTCACTCAACAAGGTGTCGTGGAATTTTTTTGCATGTGAATATATAGATAAATCTTTACATATGTAAGAGTGTTTTGAAAAATACTTTAACATTTTCACCATGTTAAAAGTTAACCTCTTCTCTCCCCCCTTTCACCCCAGCCCTCCTCAATTCTCCCCTGGGGGCTGGCCCCATCTCTGCATCCCTGCCCCAGCCCAACAGGGCTTCACCCTTAGGGGCCCATGGGGACTTTCTGCTCCCTCCTAGAGCTGAACCGAGAGGCAGGTTGGCAGGTGACAGCAAAGCTGGGGACCCCAGGAGGCGGGCATGACCCAGGGAGGGAGGAGAGAGAATCAGTGTATCCCCTGAGCATGGAGGCCAGCACACAACAGCACCAGAACCGGGGACTGGCCTCCTCCTGGCCCTTTACCTGCCATTCCCAGTTCTTACGGAAGGGGGAAGTTTCTGCCTGCTCTTGCAACCGGGCAGCGTTGCTTGAAAGAGAGGGTAACCTTGGGACCCTTGGCTACTTTTGGGGAAATGTGAAAGATTTTAGTAAGTCTTCCCTGAATGACTGATTTCCCCAGGAGACATGAGACTGTTGAATGCTGACATCTCTTTGGGGAGACATTTTCGCTAAGTGCTTGGCTCTGGAGGGCCGAGTGGAGCCTTGTTCCTCCCTCTATCTCCCCACTCCTCTTCTCCATGCTAATCCTCAGGTCAAGGGATCCATCCCCCTACCTCTGAACAGAAGGACCTGAGCTCCTACCCAGCTTTTGGGGCAGGAGGGATTATGAATCTCAGAATCAGGTGGACCTGGGGACTTGTCCCTGGGGGAAGAGGGTGGCTGGGGGCAGTCTTTCTTACTTGATGGGCTGTTAGAGGGTCTTACAGCCTGGCTCATCAACCCCAGATTCCTCCCTCCCTCCCTCCAATTCCTTCCACCCAAAAAAGAAAGTACTTGTGAAAAGCAGGGGCTGAGTGGCCCTGGTGTCACCAGTGCCAGCCCTGCCCCTCTGCCAGCTTGGGTGAGAAGAACTCTGGCAGTGACACTTCCTCCTCCTGTTGCCACCTCACCCTGCCACCTCACCCTCTTCCCAGGCCCCAGGGCTGGAGAGGTGGGGAAGGTGGAGAAGGCTGTGACGAGGCCCCCTGGGATCCCCTCACTTCCCATCGCTGCCCTTCCCTGCTACCTCATGGATCGACCCACTGAGCATCCAGAAGCCTGGCCCTGGTGAGGCAGAAGCAAAGATACACAGGGTGTGTGTCCAGGATGGGAGAGACGCCGTCTCCAGCAAACATCAAATATTACAAGACAGGCTGGATGGTAAATATGGGAAGACGAACGACTTACCAAACTCTCACATCCCATTCGTAGCAGAACCAGGGCTGCAATCCCGGTCTCTTGACTCCTGATCCAGTGCTCTGCCCACAACAGTGTTTGCCTTCCCATTTTGAGGGAGAACAATCGTAATAAATGAAAAGTCATATGATCACATCAGAAAAGGTTTGGAAAACAGAAGAGAAAATTGCCCCCCTCCACACACCAGCCTGGACAGCGATTTTCTTCACCCTGTTGTCCTCCGCCTGTATTCAAGCCTTCTTTTCAAGCCATTTCTTATCAAGACTCAAATTGAGCTTGGCTCACCTGATGCCACACAGCACCTGCCACACCTGTGGGTCTCAGACGGTGCCAGGAAGCTGTTACAATGTGGATTCCTGGGATGGGCCTCTAGAGATTTTGATTCCCAGGCCTATGGTGTGTTCCCCCAGAATCTGTATGTTGAAGGACTCCAGGTGATTCTGGGCCCCACAGAGTCCATGTATCCCACTCTCAGGCCCCCTCCCACTTTGCTATTCCACCTCCAAGTTATGTCCCAGCCTGAGAGCCTGTGCCCTGACCCTGCTTGCTGTGTGCTCCTCGGCGCCTGGAAGACTGTGTAATGGCTGATGATGACCGCTACGGGCATTGAGAAGATTTTCTTATTGAAGCTCCAGGATCAGTCAGTTCCTCACCCCAGAATCTAACAGTCACTTGGGTCCTCTCCTTAAAATGTGTGGGTGCTGAGCCCTCTTGGGACCCAGAAGGCTCTTTTTTTAAAAAAACATCTTTATTGGAGTATAATTGCTTTACAATGTTGTGTTAGTTTCTGATGTATAACAAAGCGAATCAGCTATATGTATACATATATCCCCATATCCGCTTCCTCCCGCCCTCCCTATCCCACCCCTCTAGGTGGTCACAAAGCACCGAGCTGATCTCCCTGTTCTATGCAGCTGCTTCCCATTAGCTACTTATTTCAATCTTGAGAAAGAAAAACAGAGTTGGAGGAATCAGTCTCCCTGACTTCAGACTATACTACAAAGCTACAGTAATCAAGACAGTATGGTACCGGAAGGCTCTTGAATAGGCTTATACTGTAAGATGCAGGGAGGACTGGGCGGCCCATGGAGGAGTTGGGGAGGGGTGGCTATTGGTGGAGACCCAGCACATAAAGACACCAGGGCCAAGGATTTCTGCCCTTCACCCTGCTGGGCACAGCCTGAGAGGCTGTGAGAGGGTAGATGAGTGAAGCAGGGGTGGTGTCTTGGGGATGAAGCAGGACAGGAAAGAGAGAGCACAGTGCAAGGGGCCTGGGCTGAGTTTCTGAATGATTCAGAGATGGAGAGGGACAGGCACCACAAAGTCAGAAACCCAGAGTGTGGCTCAGTGAGAAAATCTCAGGCCAGGAAAGGGGGATGCAAGAAAGAGGAAAAGAAGGAGATGGGCAAGGGAGAGGTGGAGACACCTGTGGGGACTGCAGGCTGGGGCAGAGGGAAATGGGATAACAGGCTTGGAACCCCAATTCCAACTGTCTGTGTGGCCTGTTCAAGTATCTTCATCGCTCTGGTTTCCTTGACAGTAAATGGTGCTAACAGACATTCTGCCAGGACAAGCCAGGTCTCAAGTGAGGTGTAAGGTAGTGTAAAGGCTGAGGGGGTCTGCCCCAAGGCAGGAACAGAGCAGAGGCACAGGCTATGCTAAAGTGCCTCCTCTTCCCCTCCTCCAAGCTGCCTGAGTCTTCCCCTTCCTCCCTCTGGCAACCATTTGTTCCCCACAAAGTGTCCTTCAAATCCAGACTCCAGCCTCCACTAAGGGCCTTGGGCCCAAAGAGAACCTCTCTGTTTGTAAGACCCCATCTCAGAAAGGACAGCCTTCCCCTCCTGACACCCATACACCATTCCTGGGGATAGGCCAGACCCTGGGGACTCTGGGATCACAGAGCTAAATTAGGCTCAGCCTCTGCGGTCAAAGAACTCCTAGCAAGGTGACCTCGGGGTCAGAGTTCTCCCCTCAGGGCACTTGTCCTTCAGATGCAGACTTGAAACACAGCAGCCTGTGCACCTACAACGAATGACGCCCACATGTACACAAGAGCCCATGCACATGCGCGCGCGCGCGCGCGCGCGCACACACACACACACACACACACACGGCCCACAGAGCGATGCTAGACAAATCCCTG